TTCTCCTTCCCTCCCTTCCTTTTTTCCTTCCTTCCTTCCCCCCTCCTTCCCTCTTCCTGTTATCTCCTCCTTTCCTTCCGTCCTCCTCCTTTCTTCCGTAGATTCTTCCTTCGATTCCTCTTCTCTATTTCCTTTCCTTCCCTCTCTCTCTCTTCCTTTCTCTCTCCATTCCTCCTTCCCTTCCTTCCTTCCTTCTTTCCTCTCTGCCTCTCCCTTCATAGCGCCGGCTTACTTCTCCACTTCGCAAACAGCTTCCATTTTACAAATGTCTATTTGTGCTCCGAACGCATTTGTACCCGAGTCCCACGGGGGTTGTACTACACAGCGCACAAAATAATGGCAATCCAGACAAAGGCAAAACCATCCAAGGATTGGAAACGCCGGTGCTAAAAATGGCTTAAAATGGGAGCGGGGAAAACGAGACCCCCAAATCTTTCTCCCCCAGCCTCAAATCCTCCCAACCTCCCAACCCGTCTTCTCAACTTACTTGGGAACGAAAAGGGGGCAGAGACTGAATCGAAGAGAGAGTGACCTGCATAGAGTAGTCCTCGGCTTACAACTATTCGCTTAGTGACCGTACAAAGTTGCAACAGCACTGAAAAAAGGGACTTAGGCCCGTTCTTCACACTTACGACCATTCTAGCATCCCCATGGTCGTATGTTCCAAAATCCAGGCGCTAGGCAACTGACTCGTATTTACGACGGCTGCCGTGTCCCAGAGTCACGATGATTCCCCTTTTGTGACCTTCCAGCAAGCAAAAAGTCTTTCTCTCTCTCTCTCTCTCTCTCTCTCTGTCTCTCTCTCTCTTTCTCTCTGTCTCTCTCTCTCTCACACACACACACACACATCCTATGACTCTCCATTTAACCGACACTGGGCTCAAATTGTGGTCGTAAGTCGAGGATTACCTGAAAATTGGTATGTCATGCACACACACACACGCATACACCCTACGATTCTCTGTTTAATCAACGTTGGGCTCAAATTGTGGTTGAAAGTTGAGGATTACCTGAAAATTCACAGGTATGTCATACACACCCACACACACACCCTACGACTCTCTGTTTAACTGATGTTGGGTTGAAATTGTGGCCGTAAGTCAAGGATTACCTGAAAATTCACAGGTATGTCATACACACACACACCCTACCGACTATAAGGAGAGGATAATTCAGCCGTTGCACAAACTACACACCAGACAACCAGAATCCGCACACCAACACCCGTACGTGTGTGCAAGGAGTGTGTCGTGACCCCCCCCATTGAACAAGCTTCGTTGTGAGAGGAAATCCGGGGAACGTGGCGATTAAGGCTTAAAAGCAAAAAAAAAAACCCAAAAAAGAAAGAAAGGAGGAAGAATTAATTATGGCACAATTGAGCTTCTAACCAACCACCCCCTGCGTTTTTTTTTCCCTTCATAAAACCCCCGAAAAAGGAAAACAGAGGGGGCTTAAACGCATGTGCTGTTTAAAGACGGATGAACTAAGCTGGCCGTGCGCCCCGGGGGTTTCACAAATACCCTATTCAGACACAGCGGGTTGCAAACACATCGCCTGTGATGGCAGAAGCAGAAACAAATGCGGCATATGGAATCGCCCTGTATGGAGAGAGGGGGGTGGGGGAATAACCACGGCTGCCATTTCCCCTGAGGCGGGAAGAGGGGGGGGGGAATCTGAGCGTTTGGCGGCAGCAGGAGAGGAGTTCTGCTTTGCGCCGATTCCTGCATTCCCACAAGCGGGAATTTGTATCGTATGGGTGGGCTTCCACTCCCAGAATCCCCCAGCCAGCATCCTTTAAGAGGGGAGGGCTTCCACTCCCAGAATCCCCCAGCCAGGATGCTTTAAGAGGGGAGGATTTCCACTCCCAGAATCCCCCAGTCAGGATGCTTTAAGAGGGGAGGATTTCCACTCCCAGAATCCCCCAGTCAGGATGCTTTAAGAGGGGAGGGCTTCCTCTCCCAGAATCTCCCAGCCAGCCTGCTTTAAGAGGGGAGGATTTCCACTCCCAGAATCCCCCAGCCAGCCTGCTTTAAGAGGGGAGGGCTTCCTCTCCCAGAATCTCCCAGCCAGCCTGCTTTAAGAGGAGTGGGTTTCCGCTCCCAGAATTCCTTGATTTAAGAGAGGCAGCCAAGTGTGCGAATAGGCTCAAGACTGGACAAGTCCAATTCCTGCAACTGGTTCTTCATATGTTTTAGTCTCCAGGTCTTTAATCATCATCTTATAGTTGCTTTTCTTTGCATTTTTTTCCAAGGTCTCAACATCTTGAGACCAAAACTGGCTACAGTATTCTAGGTGCGGCCTTACCAAGGTGTACTAATACTTTGCATGATTTTTAATTCTATGCCTCTGTATGTTGAACGGACATGAAGCGAATCGGCATTTTTTAAAAACAGGAATTGCCTAAGAAAGTTTTAACTGTGGGCCGGAGACAAGCCGAGGAGGGCACAGCACAAAATAGACAGGCTATGGCATGTTAGGTTGATCCGGGGTGGAGCAGGATTGGCACATTTGTTCCAAACCACGATTCCACAGTTTGCAGAATTTAGATTTTAATTTAGAATTTAATGCTCTAAATTCCATACTGTGGCACAAGGCTTTCATGCAAAACACGTTTTCCTTTGTTGGGCTCATGGCTAATCAACCCTCAGGAGTTAAGAGGGTTAATATAAGTCAATTTCTTAACCTCCTCGCATTTTTGACATCTACCATCCCCACAAATCTCTCTTTTGCAATCATGAGGGCTAGAAACTTCACCCGACTTGAGTGCTTTTACAAGAAAAAAAACCCAACCCTATGCATTCCCCACCCACTAGCGTCTCTTGGCAATGAGGGCTAGAAACTTCATTGGATTTACAGTACTTTTATATAGAAGATTACACTTCCACCACAAATCTGTCCCATAAATATCTCTTGGCAATGAGGACTAGAAACTTGTTCAGACTTAAGTACAAAACCACAAGAGATTGTCCCCACAATTATCTTTTTGCAATCATGAGAACTAGAAACTTCATCGGACTTAAGTACTTTTATAGAAAACTACACTTCCACATTATCCCCACAAGTATCTCTCAGCAATGAGGACTAGAAACTTGTTCAGACTTAAGTACTTTTATAGAAAACTACCCTTCCGCATTCTCCCCACAAGTATCTCTTAGCAATGAGGGCTAGAAACTTCACCAAACTTAGGTACTTTTATAGAATACTACACTTCCACTAAGAATTTGCCCCCAGAAGTATTTCTTTACAATTATGAAGACTATATAACCTTCACCAAACGTAACTACTTTTTACAGAAGATTTCACTTCCACTAAGAACTTGTCCGCAGAACTATCTCTTTGCAATCACGAGGACTAGAAACTTCATCAGACCTAAGTGCTTTTATAGCAAACTACCCTTCCATCAGGTTTTTTTTTTTGCTCCATTCTTGTTTGTTGGCAAAGGAGAAATAAATGACAGCAAAATCTGAATTTTTTGGGGGGAGGGGAAAGAGAGAAAAAGAGATATAGGCCGTTGCCGGTTCGCACCAGTTTGCACAAACCGGTTGTTAAGATCGCGCGCAGTTGGGCGAACTGGCAAATCCCACCGCTGGCCCCGCTCGTTTTTCGGTCTGTTTTGGGGACCATTTTGAGGAAATTTTTTTGGAGGGGGCTATTTTCAGGCCATTTTGGGCTCCCAAAACAACCGGCCCTAAAACAGCCAGAAAACAGGCCGAAAAACGACCGGGGAGGGCCCAGCCAGTAGTTTGGACAGCCCCAACCGGCTGAATCCTACCTCTGCCTTTGAGGCGAGGTGCCGGGAGACGGAGCTGGGTGCGATAAGTGACGTCACCCGCCCAGTCGCGTGATCAACCGAACACGCCTACCCAGCCGGAGAACCGGTTGTTAAAAAATTGTGCAGCCCACCACTGGGGGGGGGGGGGAGGGTTGGCATTCAGAGGGGTGGACGGGACGGTTTGCATACCTACAAAAAGGACAAGGCAAGGACCCTCGTTCAGCTGGACAGCGTTGGAGTCGGTCAGCTCTAAGACAGGCTTGGGGTGCCAGGGGAACTCCTTGCACTCAGGGTCATTCAGGACCTCGACTCGGCCTTGCCGGGTGATGACGTCTCCCTTAGCGTCCAAAACAATAAGAGTAGGGATACCTGCGATGGGACAAAACGAAAAAGAAATCAAGATAAAGAGAGAGTTGAGGAGGAAGAGAAGTAACCACGTCGTGTCATTTTTTAAAAAAATAAATAATTTTTTTTAAAATTAAACATAACGTTTAAAAACATTGAACGCGGTGGGAATTGTTTCGACATACCTTTTGGTCATCGTTCTAGTGAAATACATATATATCTTATAGACATTTGTATAATGTACACATATATTGTGGTTCGCCGGCAGCAGGTGCGGATGGCTGAGGTCTCGGAGAGCGAGGACACAGATGAGGGGCGTAAGTGTGATGCAGGGATGGGGCCAAGACCATCAGGGAGTGGAATGAGGCCTTCGGAGATTGTGGAGGCTGGCAGCAGTGAGGAAGAGGACCTCGAGGAGCCTGTGCCAAGTGCTCTTGTGCGCAGGGCTGCTCGAAGAAAAGACTCGGGAGTAAGGCTACAAGATAATGGCCCCTCCCTGAAGAGATAAAAGCCAGCTGAGAAACCGGAGCTCTTTGCAGGAAGCAAAGAAGTTCTAGCACTTCAAGTCTTATGGAAGTTCGGACTATCCTAGTTTTTGTTTCGGAGACTCTTTGTGTTTGAAATCTTTCTTAGTTAACTTTATCTAATATTCTTGGCAGCCTTGCACAACCTTGGCAAGGCTCATTCTTATCAGAGACAATTAGTTTGTAACAGCCTTTTAATCGGGAAGGAACGGAATTTGTAAAGAAACCATTAAAAGGTTGCGCTGTTATCTTTGTCTCGTGTTTGCTTCCTTGGAACCAGGTTTGGGTCAGAACATATATACATTTATTCATCCTAACTTATATCTTCCAACGTTCTTAGTAATATTTAAGTCTCATGGTCACAGGTGTCCTTTTAATAACTCATTTCAATCTTAAACCCTTCCTTTCTTTCCCCAATTATCTAATATTCCGATTCATCCTTATTTTGCATCTCTGGTGTTAGCCTATCCATTTCAGCACAAGTCAAACTGTTATTTATTATTTCCTCTTTACTAGGAATTACTTTCTCTTTCTACTTCCGGGCATATAACATTCTTTGCCGCAGTGATGACGTGGATTATCGAATATAACTTCTTCCTTATTATATTTTGTTGGTATAATTCCCAATAAAAAGAAAACATTCTGGCCTAGGGTTTATTTTAAATCTCATCGTTTCTTCCAGCCATTTCCCAATCCCGTATCAAAACCCTTTGTGCTTTTTTACAGCTCCACCGTGCATGACAGTAAGTGCCTCGTTCCATTAAACATTTCCAACATTCCGCATCACGTCGTATTATGTGCTATATTTCACATCGCCCAGGACTTAGTCAAACATTGTGCCAAAGCCAAGATATACTATGTCTACACAGCATTCCCACAATCTATTAAGAAAATTATTCAATTCAAAAAAAGCAATACAATTGGTCAGATGAAATCTGATCTTGACAGGTTCGGGCCCCTTGTTAATCTGAGATCGATAAAGTTCTGTTCCTAAATTTTGATGGCATCAAAGTTTTTTTTTTTTTTTAATTTCTACATTCATTTCCCAATCATGGGATGATTATTTATAGGGGGAAATCTTCTATTCCTCCAAGAGATCATAAGGGTCCCATAAGATTTGAACAGCCAGTTGTGAAGATTAGGCCTTCTGATCATCCTTCTCGTCTTAGGACCAACCTGGAATCTTTTCTTATTAATCCACCAGAAAGCTTGGGCCTGGAGGATTCTGGGAGTTGAAGTCCAACCATCCCAAAGCATGCTGGCTAGGGAACTCTGGGAGTTGAAGTCCAACCATCTCAAAGCATGCTGGCTGGGGAACTCTGGGAGTGGAAGTCCACCCAATATAAAGCATGCTGGCTGGGGGATTCTGGGAGTTGAAGTCCAACCATCTCAAAGCATGCTGGCTGGGGGATTCTGGGAGTGGAAGTCCAACCATCTCAAAGCATGCTGGCTGGGGAATTCTGGGACTTGAAGTCCACCCAATAT